ACTAATTATTAGAATTTTCAATTTTTATTACTTAAAAAATGCAATGTATTTTGCAAATTTTCGTAAAATGCTTCCAACAAATTTAGACAAAATGTGAATAAATATTTCATATTTTGTTTATTTTTCCTAAAAGTCATACTTTAAGATAAATAAACGGATTACTTTTTGTTATTTATGTAACTAAATAATCAAGCAAAATCTGTTGTCTTACTGATGACATCTGACTAATTGAAATGCGTGGAAAAATAATTTTTAACAAAGTAATAGCAAAATTTGAATTCTTTTAAAATAATTAATTATAACAGTTTATGCTTGAAATTGTTATATGCAATCAAAATTCAACTTTTAAATTATGATAATGATTTTTTAGGCTCAATGAATGTGCTACAACCACTATCAGAAGATTATCGTAATTTTGGCACTTTAACAGTTTCTAGAGATAATGAATGTGGTCAGTTTGAGATATGGTAGTTTCATTTTTATAATGCCAAATTGTCATTAATATTATTTATCAGCTTAGTTTTTGATTTGTTAGATATATTAAAAAATTAATATTTTTTAATAAAATGCTTCTACAGTGCAATCTTTACGACAACATTGGGTTTCACCAAAAGGTGCTTTCCACCAGAGTTTCGATGATCGAAATCAAAGCAACGATAATCAAGAGCTGAGTAATTCATGCGTTGATCTAAGTGATTCGGTAAATTTTGATCTAAGCAGTCTACTTAATTAATTGAATTAAAGAATTTTGAGAGGATTACGCAGCAAAAAGTGTAATTATTGAATTGTTGTATGAGTTAAAAGAATAATCAAATAAAGTAATAATACACTTATTGGCAGATTTCTAAATTTTGTTTGAATTTATTTTTATTCTAAACTTTTTTAAGCTTTTCACTGTTAAATTAGTTTTCAATGATATATTGGTATAATTTCACTTTTTTTTCAAAATGATCACTTTTTTGGAGGGATATTTAAACTTGCTACTTAAATTCATGTTGATGCTAAAATCTTACTCTTAAATATTCTTTATTTTTATTATATTAAACGTCTGACCAATTGGCAATTACGACTCACATCATTGTACTTTATAAATACTTGGACAGCTTTAAACTTGAAAAAATAAATGAATAAATAAATATGTAAGTATATAAAAAGCAGTTTGCATGAAAATTAATATGCATATTTGTTCATTTAGTCACTTCTGATCTTTAATAATTAATATTTGCTTTTTAGCATATATATGACTGTTTCTTTCAATTATATCCATGTATTATAACCATTTTGGGCATTATTCGTTCCTAACCTAAATTATTTTATTACATTTATTGCCATCAATAATTTCACTATATTATGTTGATCAAAATTGAGTACTGTATTTTCATTTTTGCAAAATTAAACGTTCTATCATATTTTGAAGTCAAAAATTAATGACTTTTGAATGAAATTAATTAAAATTTGCTATATTAACAATTGAAGTTCGAATTGATGAAGCATTTAATTTTGGCTTGGCAATATGTTAGCTTTTTTGTTTATTTTTTTGGCAATTTGAAAATGAAAACTAATTTATTTTAGCTACTTATATGCAAATATTTTTAAACTTCACAAATATGTACAAATAATTATCTTAATTTGTAATAATACAATAATGGTTGAAATTATTAATGATTTTAATTTTGTGCTAATTAATGAGAAAAAATATCTTCTGCGAAATTAAATGTTCGATCAATTCCGAAAGTCTTGCTGAATTGATCTAATCACTGATAATTTTTAAAAATTTTTTGGAAGGTTCTTAAAGTCAATCATGCAAAAATCATTATTACTGTAACATTTAGAAAATCAAACTTCCAGAAAATCAAATTTCTCTTTAAATTGTTTTTTGTAATTCTCAAATGGAAGGTAATTTCATCCATCCGT